TTATGGAGTTCCACAGGGTTCTGTGCTAGGACCAATTCTGTTTACTTTATACATGCTGCTCTTGGACAGTATCATTAGAAGCCATACCTCAAACATTGTGGTCTAATTGTTGGGTTTTCTCTGTGTTATTGTAGGGTCTTTTAATTTACTGAATTTAAATTAAATTAAATTACACAAATACACATATTAATAATAACCAATGTGACTTAAAACTAAGTATAACAAAAGGTGCACAGAAAAGACAAAAACAGAAAAAAATGCATCTTTATTGCTGGTAATAGGCATGTGACCTCAGCATAGACACTCCCACAGTCTGGCTGTTATTTGGTTACCAGTTCCTACTCTGACAATGTACAGTGATGCACCGAGAAGGCCACATGCAAGATAACATTTATCTTTACTGTTGTTGCATAATTTATATCACGGGAGAAATAAAGGCACCACTTAATGCTGGTAAAAGAAGAAAGCAGGAAGTTGGGTTTTACAGCATATGAAACGGAAACGATTGGAGAAACATTCAGAGACACAGATCCTGGCTGTCTCTGGCTCAGAAATCCATGCATTCAAATGGGAAAGTATAGGAGATATTCGCCTGATGAAAGAATTGAGCAGATACGTAGATGCAAATGATCTTCCCTTTTCTTCTTCCCTCCTATGTGACTGTTTTGAGATCAAAGAAAGTCTGTACAGAGAGGAGAAACAGGAGTGTATATAATTATCAGCAGTGTTGTTACTACTTTATTCTTTTATTTATTTATTTTTATTTTTTTTGCTGTAAAGAGCTCAGAGCCAAATGTGTCCAGGGGCTTTGGGAAAATTCCAGGCAAGAAGCCTCATGTGAGCCACCAGGGTTTTGTGTTTGACTGATGATCCTAATTAGATCCTAACGGCAGTCCACAGCGTGCCCAGTCTCCTGGGTGTGACCAGCACTGAATCAAGCACAGACACAGGAGCTCAGATTCTGTGCTACATGAGGCGGCGCGTTGGCACAGTGGTAAGGATTATTACTTCTCAGTAAGAAAAATTCTGGGTTTGAACCTCTTGATAGGCTCGGGCCTTTCTGTGGGGTTGGGATGTTTTTTAGTGTCTATTCTTTTAAAGATTGTATTTCCCTGTATAAAACATAAACACACAGCTTGTTTGAATGAACTTTGGTTTTTAAAGTGTAGCTTTAACTGTGACCGATTCACCAGATCGAGTTTAAACCTGTAAACTGTAGGTCTCTGCTGCCCTCTGTTGACCACCTCAAGTACTGCAACACTCCACAGTTCAGTTCAGAGGAGCTCTCTTCAAGAAATGTCTTCATAAATGTACTAACTACAGTCCAAGACAAGTGCCCCAGCTTTATTACACTGAGAGAAACTCGTGTCTACCATAGTTGGATGATTGCTTTGTAATCTCTTCATGGTATGTGGACTGTGGTAATGAGCAGAATCATCCCACACTAAAATCTACTTCCTTACACATCTCTGTCTTTGCAGACCTCCTGGACACACCTGGCTGACTCCTGGTGCTCTCCTGATAACCCATGTATTCCCAGCATGAGCTCACAGTGGACTGAGATTCACAAAAATCCTTTCAGTCATTGACCTCAGCCGACCATACAGCCGTTTCTTCTAAATACTTCAAGTGGTCTCTTTCACACTCTCAACTAATGCTAATTTAGAGTAACCAGTAAGCCTTATGGGCATGTTTTTGGGTTGTGGGGGAAAACCAGCACATCTAGAGAAAACCCATGCAGGCAAAAGGAGAACATGTAAACTCTCCATAGAAAGGTACCAGCAAGTTTCACCTCTGACAAGGATCTTCCTGTGTCAGGGGTGTTTCTTCTTGTTAGTGCTCTCATTGGTCTTGATCATTTGACTGCTCAGAAAATCCATGACAGCCACCTTCAAACAGCTCTTCAAAGCTTTGAGGTGTGTTGAGGCTCTTTGGCTTTCTGCTCACAGCTTGAACCCAGAGGGCTGGAGCAGGTCTCTGATGAACATAGTGCTGCTTGGTTACTGCAGGTGCTCCAACTCCCATCAGCAGTCCAGTCTCACCACCTCAGCAGTTTGGAGTTGGTTCCTGTCTTGGTTTACAGATACTTCTTTCTTGTAGGCAAACTCAACCTGTAAAAAATGGAGTCTTACTATTTCTGTATGTGTTCATCCGGTAAACATGCTTCCTTTAAGTCTTCCTGATCTTGGTTTGGATACAAATGATCCAGTTTGGTTAAAGTGTTTTAAAGCGCAACCTCTTAGATGCTGTGAATGTCTAGTAAAACTTTGAGTTCTCTTTCAGATTTAATGTTTCTAATGCCTGAACTCTCTTAGGTAAATATTCTTTCAATTTCTTTTAAAGTAGCCTTCAGAAATAGTTCAGTCTTCTTGAAGGGCATTCAAGCATATTTTTGGATGTTGGCTGCCTTTTGTTCTGTTCTCTGTCAGGATGATCCCACACTGCTTTAAATATGATGTCCGAGCTGTGGGGAGACCCACCTTGAGTGTTCATTGTGTATCTATGTGGGTTTTCTTTCTATCCAGGTACGATTTATTGCATTAGGAGTGTGTTTGGGATCATTGTAGTGCTAAAAACTGAAGCCCATTAGAAACTTTCCTGATGGTACTGCGTCACTTTATGTTCATAATTTCATCAGGTTTGGTAAGATCTCCATTACCACTAAAACGTAGACATAAACCACGATAGAACCTCCACAGGTTGTAGACATTCACTACTGTACATCTCTCCCCTGTATATACTGTGATGACTTGACTTAAAAATGTCAAATTTGATCTCATCACAACATAATAATGTTGCCACTGATTTTCATTCAGTCATTTGGCATACCTCAGCTCTTTCTCCCTGCGACAGTCACCCTTCAATTCCGCTGAGGATTCGATAAACGGTAGATGATCAACTGAAGGGCCAGAAGAATCTCTCAGGTCCCGTGTCCGGTCTTTTGGATGTTTTGCTGTTTCTTAAGTACACGACTTTCAGGTACCACTCATCTGCTGTAGATCATTTTTGAGGACACAGATGCCAAGCTTTCAGCAAAAAGCTCTTTAGAATCATTGTGTTGGTGCAAAAATACTATTTTATGGGACTTTTGTTTTGTTTTGTTTTAATCCAGCTAAAGAAATGTGAACACATGATATAGTTTTGCAACAGGCTGCAAAGTGTCTACATACACAAAGTAAAATTGGATCTCGGTTCTCACTCACACACATTCACACACACACACCCTGTGAACCCAGTGAAATAAAGCAATTCAGCGTCTGGGCTTTATCACAAAACAGGTTTAATTTAATATCTCTTTATTTTTTAAAATAATTAAACATTTGTATTTCTCCAACCCTTTTTTATCTTTTTTTTTTTCAGCTTTTAAATCATATTACATCTGGGCCATTCTAAAGCACACATTAATTCTGCAAGGGAGGAGGGGGTGAGGTTCACTGTCAAAGACTCCCAACAGGGCAAAAGTGGTCTGCTCAGTGCCTTCCCTCTACACTCGCCTCCCTCCCCCCTCTGACCCTCTCCTGCCTACCTGCCCTCACCCCTCCCTGCATTCCTTCCCTCCCACCCTCCCCTCCCCAACTGAAAAAAAAAAAACCAACAAAAAAAAAAACAAAGAGAAAAATTATATATATATATGTATATATATATATATATATATATATATGTATATATATATATAATTTTTCAAATGGTCAAAAGAAACTTCATCAAAATATTCAAAATGAGATAAAAACCAAGAGAAGCGGGAGGAGTGAGACAGAAAGAAAAAAGAAACAGACTAAAAGAAGGGGAAACACTATCATAAATACCAGGAAGTTGTTCCATAATACCTCTTTATATACTGGATACTCCTCTCCACAGTTTCCTAAGCAAAAAACATAGGCTAAATTACTACAAGATACAAGATTATCAGTGTACTGCATTCAATAACAATTTACAGGGTTGTCTTTTTTTGTCACTGTTGCTGTAATACTGTGAAGTCAACGCGGCGCCCCCCCAGTGGGCTTAGAGGGACGAGGCGAGAGGGGCGGGAGGTGAGGCGAGGCGCTCGTCTTTTCACACGAGGAGTACTTTTCTTTTTGGCGCTCCTTTGAGGACCCGTTATCATGTGTGTGTGTGTCTGTCGTTAGCTGTGAGTCCCCCGTTATGGCCAGACAGTACCAGTGCCAGACTGATACCAGCGATACCTGGTATGGCAGGAGGGACGGGGTCAAAAACAGAGAAGGAACGTAATCAGCTAATGGAAGGTAGTCTTTTTTTTTTTGGAGAGGGGGAAATGAATAGGTGTGTTTACATGCAGATGGTTCTGGATTCAAATTGTTTCTGGTTTGTATGTGTTAATCTCTTTCTGTTCTAACATCGGGCAACCAGCCACATTGCCAGGGAGGTTAATAAAATGAGATGCTGAATAACTATAAAAGACTCAAAAGAGACACTCGTCTCACGGGACAGGTGAAACAAAAGCACCAGGAGAAAGTTTGCACAAAGCCCCCATCACCATTTCAGTTATTGCTGTGTGGAACATTGGTGACTGCACACGTTTAAAGTTTGTTTTGAGCCTTGTTGTTGTTGTTTTTAACATCATCTGTATTGGCACTACCACCAGAGGGCGCCAAAGTAAAGGGGGAAAAAAAGAACCTGTAGTTATGTACTCTCCTGATTTGCATGGACACACATGTAAACACATTTAAAGAGTCAGTGGTGTGTTTGTGTGTGCACTGTGAAAGGCCCTGTTGTCAGATTAATGTGTGTTTGTTTGTTCGATTCATTGCCTGTTTTAAACAGGAAGCAGAATTTGCAGACAGGCCAGGGAGATTAGGGGTGTCCTTTGGATGGAATGGGGCGACTGTGATTGGTTCACTTGGGGCCTGGTAAGACCGAGAGGGAACAGAAAGATGGAGGCAACAAGAGGAAAAGCAAAGAGGAGAACCAAGAAAATAAAAATGACATATGGGACTATACTGAAGAAGACTGGGGTGAAGAGTTAAAATCAATCTAACCTCTTTTTTTGTGTTTTTTTAATATTTTCCAAGAGTTCATTCCATGTCCTACAGTCCAAAAAGTTTTTTTTCCTTGTTTAAATTCCCCTCCCACACAAGTGATTTTCTCATTTTCTATTTTTTTCTTCCTTTTTTATTATTATTATTACTGTTTTGTTTTTCCATTTGCAATAATATCAGTTTAAGGGAGAAAAAAAGAAAAAAAAAACAATTATTTACAGTGCTGTTGAAATAATGAAAACAGACGTAATGAATCTACTGTAAAGTAAGTCGCACAAACACAGGAGGAAAAAAAAAAAGCATAAGAAAAAAAAGAAAGAAAGAAAATTAAGAAACCAGCGAGCGCTCTGTGTCGATCCAGAGACGACAGCCTGTATCAGGAGCTCTGGGCAGACATGGCTAATGTCGAGGGCAGGAGAGTCGGGATCAGGGCAGAGGAGGAGCGGGGAGTCGGATGGGGAGAGGAGGAGGAGAGGAGCAGTAGGACAGGGGAGGGACAGAGGGGAGCGCGGCGCTGTCTTTGTTAAGTTGGGATGATTCCGTCGCTCCTAAGGCCCCGCTTCAGCTCCAGGTCCTCCAGCTTCTTCCACAGCTCCTCCCGTTCCTTCTCCTTCTTCTTCTCACTGGAACACAAAAACACATAAGCATTAAGCACAAAATAAGCATTAGCTCTAAGTGAAAAAAAATAAAGAAATGTTTTTATTGAATCAGTCACTCTAAACGGAAGTCTGGTGCTCTAACTCAAAGTATTTATCAGTGTGGCTTTTCTTTAACCAACATCTAATATTGATCCTGAGACTGACACAGTGGGGTGATAGTAGCACTGTGTGTGTTCCTGTAATGTGTTAAGCAGCTCCCTGGAGGCATCTCAAACTATCACATTATTCATGAGTCCCCATCACCCCTGCTGCTGCTGCTGATGTGAGCAGCTTCTTACCGCTGGCGGTCCGACTTGTAAGTGGCTGTGAGTTCATCAAATAAGGTACTGTTCATCTCCATGAAGGCCTTCAGTACGTTGTATACCAGCGCCACGATTGCCCTGAGAGGGGAAAAGCACAGACAGAGTAAGACAACTTACAGCGACACATTTTTATTGCTCCTTCAGACTTCTGTGGTAGCAGACACAGAGCTTCCAGCCTTCATTTTTGGATAAATTATGGAGACATCCAGCGATGTGTGCCCAACTGATTCGCAAACTCCATTTGAGATCAAAATCAAGCCCATTTGTAGATTTTTCCAAACATTCCACATTTATTCTTAAAAACAGGAACATGCTGTTCCTATTAGCACTGGAGTATAACCCTCTTTAAGATCCATGTGCCCCATGCACCCCACAACAGTCACAGCCAGCTGGCATGTTTCGATGACTGCTTGTGTCTACAAACGTGTACGCACACCATATCTGAATAATATCAACACTTGGCAATAAATTCGGAATAAAACAACCAAAAAACAGGTACACGATAATGACATATTTTTCAGTAATTTATATTTTCACCCCTGGCCAGCTAAAGTCTAATTTGCTGAAAATCAGGAATAAATAAACGTGCATGCATGTTTTCCTGTGTTAGAGCCCCGACTTTGGCTTAGGAGAGGAATCCTGAGGTGACTAGTAACTTAAACGATCATATGCAGTTTCAACAATCTACTTGAGATCTTCAAATTAACACTAATTCCTGATTGATATCAGTTTTTTAAGCTATATTTAGCTGTTCGGAATTCAGATTTTTCTCAAGAATGTGGAACATTGTAATGCAATTCTGCTGGGGTACAGAGGGTTGTATGTGTGACTCTACTCAGGTCTTGAAGTATACATTTCCTAATGAACAACAGTAGAAAGTGAAAACATTAAGCCTCATCTATTACACAGAAGTCATGCTACTCACGGGTTCCAGTGCTCTTTGGAGATCCTGTAGAGGCTGGCAAACATGATGGGCAGGATGACGCTGGAGTTCTCCTCAATCAAACTCATGATGTACTCGTTGTTCCAGTAGTAAAGAGCTCGCTCTGCAACCTGGGACGAGACGGACGCACACTAACTGAGCCATGTCTTCGTGCCACCAATAACCACTCACTTGTCACTCTTTAATAACCAATAACTGTTTAAGCACAAATGTTCCCCATGATACAAATTAGACCACCCGCCCCCCACAGGAAACGTAGGCATTGTCAGGAAAGGAACAATGAGTCATCGCTGACCTGGAAATGTGGGCTGGAGACACATCTGGAGATCTGTTTGAAAAGCGGCTCCTGGATCTTGACGAACTGTGTGGGCTCGATGACGTCCAGAATCTCCTCCAGCTCCCCTAGAAACATCACCTGCAGTGCCGTGGAAGAGGGACAATATCAACACACAAGATGATGTTTAAAACACAGTTTTGTTGTTGTTGTTGTTGTTGTTTTGGGGGGGTTTTGCATTTAGCAACAAATGAGCCTCACCTCTTTTTGACTGCAGGTTTTTGGCCAGAACTTCAGTAAGCCTCTGATGACCTGAGAGAGAAGATGCCAGAGTTCATACAGTTGGCTCCTACCCCCCCTTTCTTTCTTAAATACAAGTATTTGAGTTGAAATAATAACACTAATGTCATTCTTTACATTTCTGACTCTGTCGTTGATGTGAAACACTTTCATGACAAACTGGGAGGGGAATGAAAAATGAAATAATACAGATGCTGTAATTACACACTGAGTAATAAGCGATGTTTGCATACAGTCCCTGTGATTTGACCACTAAATCTTAACTCAGCGTCCATTTAATACGTTTTTCTGACTTCAGAACACCTTTGTGTGCCGCCGGGGTGGCGGCGGCACACAAAGGTGACTGGTAGGAGGAGTTGTGCATAGATACTTACTGGTTCTGTTAATGTTGGGTCTTTCTCTAGGAATTGTACAATGCAATACGCCAACTGTGAGGAGAGGAATCCGGAGGTTAAAACTAACATCACATTAAGCCTCGAGCAAGGCTTACAACAGCAGCTCAGACGTACAAACATAGCAGTGAAAGAGCTTTCAGATGATTTTACTTTTTAAACCACTGCTGATTTTCACAGCTGCTGTCAACTGTAATATTATTACACATTTCGATTCCTTCCGTGTATAAAAACACAAACATACACATAAGCTATAGCACGAAAGCACACCTTAAAAAGCAAACAGGATACTTTTCGAGGTTCCAAGTTCTGTTTGTGAATAAACTACGCCTGGGATTCCACCAAATCTAAAGGTGGCAGATATTAGCATTTACCCACAAACTCTATACACACTATTGTTACCTGTGCATGGAAGAGGGACAGACTCCTGACAGTGTGGAGGGGAATCAACACTTTGACCAGAAACTGTTTATGCTCTGCTTTCAGTGGCAGAGCAAAACCATTGATTATACTGGAAGAGAGAAGGAGGAGACAAAGAGGAAAATGTGAATATAAATTAAACAAGAACACATAAAAGAACTTTATTGTGACCCTATGAAAGCAATTGGAAGATCAATGAGCTGCAGACCAAAAGAACACTGTTTATACGGGTGATGTGACCTGGGGAAGAAACACAGGCCTGACCTGAACCAAGAAAACAGACCTGATGTAGGGCTGGGCTATATCATACCGTTCACAGTAATACCGGTGTAATTTTGGGCAACGATAGGAAAATGAAATATCGCGATAGAATATGGGTAAAACGCGCATGCGCACTGC